CCCATAACCTAGACTCTATAATAAATCAATTAAATTTCATTAATTCATTTACTCTCCCTCTACCTATGGATTATTTTGTAAGCAAACTCCAAATATATTATCATATACTTGTTAGTAGGATTTTTTCAAAAAGAAAAAGGGCACTTTAGAAATTCCTCAGTTTAAACACTTTCCCTCTTGCAGTGCAGTTTCCTGTCGCCTTGTAACTTTTGAGGAGCATTTTATTTTCTCCCTATGTCTTCTTCACTGTCTACTAAGAAGTATTTATAAAGCCATATTATCATGATTGCTTTTTAAGTCAGAATTAATTCAAGAATGGGTTTTTAGGTAGATAAGATCCATCCTAGACCAGAAGAGAGGCCCTAGGGCCCTGATTCCTAAGTGTCTTAGAATTGTCTTCCTTGTGCACATCATTGTGTGACTTCCAAAGTTGGCGGCATACCAGCCAGGCTGTTCCCGAGGGAGGTTCCCTCCGAGTTTATAAATGAGACCGAAATCTAGATGCTTTGCCTGTGTGCTGAGGCCTGCAATGAGCTGTTGAAAACTGTCCTAGAGTCCCCAGGTTTCCTTGGGCACAGCTTTTCCTCTCACTGTACATGCCTTCCCCCTTTCTTGTTACTGTATGCATGTATGCAGTTGTGTGTAAGGGTCTCTTTGATGTTATGGGTTTTGTTGAAAAGCCAGCTAAATAGCATAATTAATCGACTACATACAAAGAGGCCAGGACTCTGTTGTCTCCGTTGAATCATATGATCCTCGTGCAATTTTATGAAGGAGTTCCAGGTCTGAGTTTAATATTCAAATGTTTAAAGAAGTATAGAAACCTGACAGTCCTCACCAGCAGCAAATCTCTATTGTTCTTGGGAAACAAGATAACAGATCCCAGTCCTTGGAGAACTAATGACTCCTATTGACTACTGAACAGACATCTTCTCTCCTTCCACCCCAGGCACATCAACTGGATCACCCTGCTCATTACCTGCGCTTGAAATTTCTAATCGAAAACAAGATTCAGCTCTATATTCCACAGCCGGAGGAGGACATTTATGAGCTGGTAATGTTTATGACTGCTCTTCATGAACATTCTGTTGGAGATTATATTTAAATTACGTGTGTGCTTGTGTTAATTGTAGTTGGTGGAGTGGAACATTCTAAAATGAATGAGCTTCATTTGGAGCCTTAAAGCTGGTGGAGATAGCCTTACTTATCACAGTCTCCCCAGACTGGAAAGCCATCTTTGTTTGTCTAGAAAGCAGTGTTGTGCTGTCAGGAAATCCATGGCAAAAGTTCAGATAGGAGTTTAGTCATTGTGTCCAGCTCTCCCTGCAGCATGGACAGTCTTTTCCTTTTATTTGGTGACTCTAAGATCAGCTGGCTGTTGTCATAATAAAAGCACTAACTCCAATTTTGTGTGACTTCCACATCCTTATCTAGTTCAAATCTTGTGGCTAGGAATAAACAGACAAATAAAACAGCCTTCTGACTAACATATCCCAGCTTCTTGGAACTGAAGTTATATTTATTGGGGACATTTGTGGATGTTTGTTTCAACAGACTTAGAGAACTTGGGTTTTGAAGGAGATTTGGCTTATGTATCAGTCCTTTGCATAATCATCAAAGGGAATTGGCAAAATAGTCAGATGCCGATACTCAAATGTCTAGGATCTTACAAAATTAGAAAGAATACTTTCTGGGGCTGGAGAGATGGCTCAGCTGTTGAGAGCACTGGCTACTCTTGCAGAAGACCTGGTACCCACATGGTAGCTAATAGCCATCTGTAACTCCAATTCCAGGAGAACCAATGCCCTCTTCTGACTGCCACAGGCATTGCATGACATGGGTGTACATACATACATAATACAGCATACATATATAATAAAAATAATAAAAAAAAGAATGTTTACTGTAGTAGATTTTTAATGGTTCTTACTGCCATAAACCAGTGGCAGATTCCTTTTTCTTAGCCAGTGAGTTTTTCAGTTATAATAAAGAAGGTTTGATGAGGAGGGGGCCTCTCTTGGAGAGCCTTTTGGCTGATCAGTACTTGGCCATCCCTCTGGGGGCCACAGAGATGCTTGCTGTGGATGAGATAGCAGGAGCAGCAGACTTTAGTCTGGGCTTCCCACAGAAAGAAGAACTGGAAATAGAAACCCAGAGGCTCTCCTTTTAGAAAGGGGAACCATGGCTTTAGAATTTATAGGAAATGACACTTTAAATCAACTTTATTGAGGTATACCTTATATATTAGGAAACTCACCAATCTTAGCGCACTGTTTAATGGGTTTTGACAAATGTACAACAGTCGCATTTCCACTGTATCAACCATGATTTGGATTATTTCTTCCAGCCTAAAACATCACCTCAGGTCCCTCTAAAAATTTTTTTAAATGTGTATGATTGTATTGCCTGCATATATGTAAGGGCACTATATCGTGCAGTGCCTGCGGTGGTCAGAAGAGGGTGGGACTGGAGTTATGGATGGTTGTTAACCACCATGTGGGTGCTGGGAACTGATCCCAGGTGTCCTCTGCAAGAGCAGCTTGTGCTCTTAACTGCTGAGTCGCCTCTCTAGCCCCCTTCTAAATGTTTTTAAGTAAATTTTAGAGGTTGCACACCTATAATAGTCTCATCATATTCTATGTTAGAAAAGGACTAAAATGATCAATTGGCTTTAAACTGCTGTTCAGTGCACTGATAGAGGAGGTCAGCCTAACAGAGAGTAGCTGGTGTGTTCTTTTTGTAATGCGCAGAGTAGTCCAGTGTTTTGTGTTCTATGGAAATAGGCAAAAACAAACAAGCAAAAAACCCTTTTCCTTACTTATAGAAGGGAACTTTAGCCCAACACTGTAACACATACGTGTAGCCCCAACTACGGAGGCTGAGGCAGGAGGATCACCACATGATCCCAGCAATTCATGGCCAGCCTGGAGAATAAGAGCAAGTTCTGGTTTCTTTTGTTTCTTGGGTATGGGGGACATCTGTAATGCCAGCACTGGAGAAAGGATTGAGAATGAAAGTTTGGGACCAGCCTTGCCTACAGAATGATTTTCAGATCAGCTTGGGGAGACATATAGTAAAACCTTGTTTCACAAAGAGGAAAGGAGAGGGGAGGGAGGGAACTGTGCTGATAGATCATATACTTTATGCCTTATGATTTGTGAATTTTGTGTACCCTAAACTGCAGGAGTCATAGCTAACCAATCTTCATGCCCTGCTCACATGAGAAGCTGCTAATTGAGCCTTTTTTTTTTTTTTTTTGGTCTCCCTGTAGCCCCAGTTGTCCTGGAACTCACTATGTAGACCAGGCTGGCCTTGAACTCACAGAGATCTGCCTGCCTCTGCCTCCCAAGTGCTAGGATTAAAGGCGTGTGCCACCAAGCCATATTTTTAGAAAGTCTATTACTCACATATTATTTTTAAGCTTTAGACATTGCATGGCCTTATCCAATGTAGGAGACTATATTGTGCCAAGCCTAATCTGTTTAGGTCTATAATTGATATATACATGTTGTGATTCTTTTTTAAAAATCCAAAGAACAAAAAGACCATGATATCCTCTCTTGCTCTTTGCAAACGTCTCTAACCCAGGTCACTGAGGAAAGATTACACTAGTCTTGTTCACTTCAGCACCTCCATCTGATGACACTCTCTAAGCTTCTTATGCCCTGGATGGCTTTGGCTGCCTGATGAAGCTTCTAGCCCCTTCCCAGAGGAATATTCCTCGCTGCGTGAAGTAGGACACACAGAGTGGCCCCTGACTTAGTTATAACAAAATAGTTATCAAAAACAATTTAAAACGATAAATCACAGATCTTCTTAGCTCCTTAACTTAGAAGAGCTGGTAGTAAGGGGCTAGCTGGAGAGATTACACAACAGTTAAGAACACTTGCTGTTCTTCCAGAGGACCCAGGTTTGATTCCCAGAACTCACATGGCAGCTAAGAACTATCTGTAATTTCAGTTCCAGGGGATCTAATACTCTCTTCTGGCCTCCACAGGCACTGCACGACAGGGGTGCAGTTACATACATGCAGGCAATATACTCATACACATAAAATGACCGTGAGATCAAGTTAAAAAAATGAGTGCTGGATTTGGAAGGTGTAGTATGTTGTGGAGGGTATAGTATGTTTATGCTGGTGGTCAAAGGATTCTCTTACTGAAGAAGATCTACCAGTCTATCTGCTGTGCTGATTGTATTGCTATAAGTAATGACTCTGGCTATGTCTTCATTACTCGTTAGTTGTTTGAACTAACCCATGGAACAGTTCACAAAGCAGAGTGTGTTCTGTGCAGGCAATAGTTTTTTTTCAAAAAACTCACACTAATGTATTCTTATTAAGTGAAGGGGAATAAAATTTGCAGGAAAAATGATTAATTTATTTTTTCATTCATCTACCAAATATTTACTTAGTATTTATGTTTCTGGCATAATCTTTGATTCTCTAGGCACAGGACATGTGACATTCCTCCACACTTGGAGGAACCTCTATTCGGATTTACAGAGATACGTATAAAAATGTGTTATTGTCAGCAGTGTTGGGGTCTGAGAACAGCAAGAACTTAAAGAAATTGCATAGCGAGATGGGGTGTCTATAAGCTTAGGTTTGACATTGGAATGAGGGGTGAGTAAAAGCCAGGCATTAGTCTTAACTGTGCTTTGCAGAAGAGTGTCTTGGGAACAGGTAATGGGGTGGAGAGAAGGCTCAGTTTCTAAGATGCTTCCTGCACTAGCCTGACAACCTGAATTCAATCCCCAGCACCCAGGTAAAACAGGTGCACACTGTAATTCCCTTCTGGGGAGGCGAGGCAGAAGGGATCACCAGACTTTGCCTGCCAGCCAGTCTAGCCATATCGGTGAACTCCAGTTTCTGTAAGAGACCCTGTCTGAAGAAATAAGGTGGAGGGACTAGAGAGATGGTGCAGTGGTTAAGAGCACTGGCTGCTCTTGTAGAGGACCCAGGTTTTAGTACCAACACCCACAAGGCGGGTAACAACCATCCATAACTCTAGCTCCATGGGAATTGAATGACACGGGTACACTTACATACATGTAAACAATACACTCATACACATAAAATAGAATAAAAATAATAAAATCTTTTTTAAAAAAGAACTAAAGGTGGAGAGTGACTGAGAACACCTGGCACTCTCCTCCGGCTTCCACATCCATTTGTACACAAACACACAGAAGAGGCAGTAAAGCTGACCAAGTCTGAGGCATGGAGGGAGTGGCTCACCTGCTTGTACCAGGAGAGTAAATGGCGAGGGTGCAAAGGTGGGTGCTGAAAGTGAGGATCAAAGGGAACCGGACAGGCTGTATAGGCTCTGAGTGAGAAGGAAACCCCAGGAGAAAAAGGACATGACACTCCATCTCCGTGTGTTCCCTATCTGTGGAGTCAACCAGCTTCAGATTGAAGACATTTGAAAACAGACAATGAAACCTACATAATTACTAATCTATAACATATACAGTACAATATACAATATGATAGTCATAGCTATACTATCATGTACAATCTTTTTGGTCATTATTCTCTATATAATACAATATTAAAAACAATTTACCTGCCATTTATGCAGTATTAAGGAGGAAAAGTTGTCTAGAGATCATTTAAAGCATATGAGAGGGTGTGTACATAGATTCTATGCAGAGACTATATTATTTTCCTTGAGAGAGTTGTGCATGGGTTTTGAGTTTCTGGGGTGATGGGTGTCCTGGAACCTGTCCCCTGCACTACCTAGTGATGGGTAATTGACCTTTGTCGTAAGAGGCTTCTTGACCGGGAGACATAAGAGAACAGGCAGGCAAAGCCATGGCAAGCTAGGGGTGCCATAGTTGAGTTGAGAGGCAACAGGAGCTTGGTCTGGGGCATCCAGGGGAGACAGGAAGAAATGACCACGATTGAGCTCATGTGGCTGATTAATCAGAGTGTTACTAAAACCTAATGATCTTTTCATCCAATTTTTGAAGAGGAGGAAAACATACAATATCACTGATTTAAAATAAGGTAATGTGTGTGGTGCTTGATTAAAGATGTTTATGTGTAACATGATTGGATTCCAAATTTCCTACCTCCAGATATTTCACAGAAAGCATTTTAAAATGGTATTCTTAAAATTTCATATGTTTTGGGGCTGGAGAGCTGGCTCAGCGGTTAAGAACACTAGTTGTTCTTGCAGAAGACCCGGGTTTGAATCCCAGCATCCACATGGCAGCTAACAACTGTCTGTAACTCCAGTTCCAGGGGATCCGACAGCCTCTTCTGTCCTCACGGGCATTGCACGATACGGGCGCACTTACCTACATGCAGGCAGTACACGCATACACATAATGAATGAATGAATGAATGAATGAATAATAAATAATTCATATGTTTTTACTAGTTTTTGCTGTAAACCTGGCCTTAGTATGAATGAATGAATGAATGAATGAATGAATGAATAAAATAAATAATTCATATGTTTTTACTAGTTTTTGCTGTAAACCTGGCCTTAGTCTTAATCAGCTCAAGAATGAACCTCTGGTTCAGAGGCTGGTCTACTTGATTCTGGGTGGTCATCTAAAACCAACAAAAAGGCAGGAAAAGATTATGCTCACAAAGCTGCCTTCCCCCTGGATCTTCGCGGAGATGGCGAGAACAAGTGGTTATATACTGCCACCTGGAGGAAGTGGATTGCCTGTCAAGGAGATTTGAAAAAATACATTGCCAAAGCGAAACTGAAGTACAAGTCAGAAATGGACAGTGTTTTGAGCACTGTGCTGTTATGATTTGTCTTAATGAGTTTGCTATGTTTCATTTTAGTTATGGTATTTTCTAACCTAAAAATCTTTAAAATTGATGTCTTCTAAGTTGGGAATTTAATTTTATGAAATCTTTCTGAACTATCTCAATAAAAACCAATGTGCCCCTGACACATTGCATGGGGTGGCAGTTGAATTCATGTAGGATGTTCAGGCAAATCTGGGCTGTACTTGCCAACATCCCTAGAGCCCCACTCCATCACATGATCTCCAGTCTTCTGAACCTTAAATATTATGTTAACTTCTTTAGCCACCAAAACAAGTTAAAAGGAAGAAATTTGCATTCTTTTCTACTTATCTGAATAAAAGTATTTCTGGAGGGATAACTGCATGGTCAGAGGGGGAAGTGCAGCCAGTCACCAAGGACTTTACGTGGTGCACAGTTCAGACTGTTAGATTCCACAGCTCAGGATTTGTTTTCATTTGAAGATCAAATGACCATTTTTAAGTGCCGTAGGAGTCTTTGATACATTTGCTTTTGGATTTTGTCTTCAAGTTGGAGTTCAGCTTTAGGTTCACGTAACCTAGGAAGGTTCATTCTCCTTGCCTTGCTACCCCTTGAGTTCCCAGCGTGGCCTGGGAGGTGTCTTAATGGAGTCAGACAACTGGGTTTAGGTTCCGCTCTTTCAATCCTGGCTTTATAAAATTATTCAAGTGTTTCTCTTCGGGCTTACTCTCCCTTATTTCTGAGAGGGAGATTCTAATTGTTTCGTAGCATTTGTAAAAGACCAAAAGACACATAGTTGGAACTTAAGTTATTTATTGTCTTTTGACATTAGGTTCAGTTCTAGAAAATGGAAATATCAATTCATTTAAACAATATTCTGGATGTGGGAACTATGCACTATTTTAATATTGACTATATATAGAAGCTTACTCTATTCTGTGTTGGGTTTCTAGACAGTTGATCAGTTTTCTAGCTCATTTTGATGTAGTTCTGCACAATCCCTTTTGGTATTAACATTTGCCCCTATTGACTTGTACTGTGGGGAACTTTTCTAGTAAAAGTGGTCCGTGGAAGCGCAGAGTTCTCTTGTCTCTCCATGCAGCTCATACCAACATGTTTGTAACCTCTTTCTGATTTTGATGCCCCCCCCCCAGTACTAGAGATAGTTAATTACTGTAGCATTATTTTTTAGGTCTGTGATGGAGTTGGGGTGATTATAGATATAGAGTCATGTAGGGGCATTATTGAGAAACCAAGATGGAGTTTGGGGATGTGAATTCTAAGTTTCCACTATGACTCTCAATAAAAAGATTATGATATATATTTTTGTTCAAGTGTCAGTTGTGAAAAAATAGATTCACAAAATGCTGACAGATCCTAAGAAGTTATTTCTGATGGAATCCTAATTAGACTTCTCTTTGTAATTTTCAGCTATACAAAGAAATTGAAATTTGTCCAAAAGTCACTCAGAATATCCACATTGAGAAGTCAGACACGGCCGCTGATAATTACGGTAGGTTTATTTGTCTTTGAACTTTGGTGTTTGTGTTTCCAGTTAAAGCGTTCCCTGCACTTAATTACAATCCAATAAACAACACTTGGGGTCTATTTAAAACAACACATCTGACACCAGTGCTGCTTGCTGAGAGTCAGCTGCTGAGGTAGGAAGAGATGGAAGCACAGGGAAGGCTTCAGCCTGTTTCCTAACTGTAATCTCTGGGATCCTACTGTCAGAAGGATGAAGTGGAGAGGCTGGAGCAATGGCTGAGTGGAGCAGAGCACTTGCTGATCTTCTAGGGGACCCAAGTTCAATTCCCAGCTCCCACATGGGCTCATGACCATCTATGACTCCAGCTCTAGGGAATGGAATGCCCTCTTCTGGCCTCCATGGGCACCTACACACATGGCATGCATGCAAACAAATACACATAAATAAACATAAAAAGGGAAGGAGCCAGGTGTGGTTGTGCACACTTTTGATCCCAGCACTTGGGAGGCAGAGGCAGGTGGATCTCTGTGAGTTCAAGACCAGCCTGGTCTACATAGTGAGTTCTAGGCCAGCTGAAGCTACAGGAGACCCTGTCTCAAAAGATCAAAAAAGAAACTGTATAAAATTTGCAAAAATTCATTAACGAGAGAGAGAGAGAGAGAGAGAGAGAGAGAGAGAAAGAGGAAGAGGATGTGGAAATGAATACAGGAGGATTAGATTATTTGTATTCTGATATGCCTGTCATGTGAAGGAAGTATGTATTCACCTATTTCACCCATAAACATAGACACCATGCTCCCTTTCCCTCTGAATAATGTTAAAAGGACTTACTTGGTGTCATCATCCCCAAAACTACCACCGGGTTGCTGATCTGCTGAGACGATGTATTGCACAGTGTCTCCCATGAGTTTGATTTATTACAGTAAAACAACACAAAGCAAAACCAGCAAAGAAACGAAGGAAGGAGAGTCTAGGGAAGAGGCACACACTTCTCAGATGCTCTTCCACTGCAGTGACAGGATGGGGTTGGGTCCCCAGAATCAAATTCTGACAGCTGCTGATTCATTCTGTTGCTGGGGAACTTGTAGGGACTCCAAGTCTGGGGCTTAGGCACCCTCTGCCTCATACACTAAAATCCCAGACTCCCAGGAGGAAGGTGGGTACTCATGATAAACCATGTGGTTCTTACAGTTTAGACATAAGAGCCATGCTAATATGTTGGGAACTCTCCCCAGAACCAAGGGGTCAGATGTCAGGCAAGAAACAAATGCGTAAGCAGGTTTTTCAAAGAATCAAAGACATGTCTGCTATATTAACACTTTTCTACATGGATGTCTACATTCTGATTGTAATTAGGCATGTAATCCTTCAGTAGTTTCAATTGATGTTCTTAGCATTAGTCTGTATGACTTATATAGTAACCAAGTTGGCATTAGAATGGAGTAAGTGGGGAAATCCATCCAATGCAATATTAGCTAGGAGAAGCCAAGTTAACGGAGGCCACAAACAGGCGCAAAGCAGTGGAATTTCACCACACATCCTTTGTGGGTTGCCCGAGACTTTTTATGTCATCCGTACTTCAACTCCCAGACCTGGAGCAGCTGTCACTTGAGACCTTGTCTATGGCTTTGCAGAGAGGAAAGAAAGGAGGTGGCAAGGCAGGTCTTGCTGACAATCAACAAATCACATGGCCACCTGCTTACAGAGGAGAGGCCCTTGTAAGCAGGTGGCCAGCGAGTGTGGGCCTACACTGTGCCCAAAGGAGCTCAAAGTTCCTGATGAACTGTCATTAAACCACTGCTAATATTCAGTTTTTTCTTTGAATTCAGCTGTTAATCTTTTAGCATTTGAAAATCTCCAAAACCCTTCACTGAACAGAAGGATATTAAATTCTTTCTATAGGCAAAACTTCTTCATCCCTAAATGCTCATCAGAATGGTGTTGCTTAGTGAATAGAAGCTAATTTTGTAGCCCTGGCCTTTCACGTTATACCTTCATGCTTGACCTTTCAAACTAAACACATCAGAAAGCCTGGAGGACATTTTCAATGGCAAAGAATTGATGTTTATAAAAGGCTTATTATGTAACAGAAGTGTGACCTCAGTGATTAAAGCCATAATTGGTGGGACTGGTGTGAACAAGTGTCAGGTCCTGTGGAGTCTGATGCTCCGTGACAATTACTCTTTGGCGGCTTAGTTTCCTTAATTTTGATTGGTATGGGTGTCGCTCTTGTCCTGTTAAAGAGTGAACTAGCAAGGATCTAGAGAGGGATGAACCCAAAGCTCTTGCACGCTTAGTCTAAGATTCAGTGATTTGGGGCCTCAGAAATAGTCATAAAAACCACCATAGAGTCACCCCTATTTTCCCTAGCTGATAGGTTATAAGATAGTCCACAGATGCCTAAAATTTGGGATAATAACAAGTCCTATATACTTTGTTTTTGTTTCCCCCCCCCCTTTGGTTTGTTTTTTTTCCCCTGCACACTGATAATAAAGTTTAATTTATAAGTTAGGCTCATCAGGCATCTGAAGAATAACAACAATAGATTATAATAAGGAACAATTCTAACAAAGTATTGTAATCAAAGTTGCCCATGGGGAATTGCAACCACAGAAAGGGAGGAGGGCTGTACTTTATAAACTTTTTAGAGTGACTGAATTGCTCCTAAAACCCGTTTGCCTTCTCTCAATTGAGGGTGTTACAGGGCACTGTGCATTGATCCACACAGTACTGCGGGCAGAGCTTCTCAGTCGACTGTGGGACATAAGGAAAGGATGTTTGGATTCAGTTCCTCATCTTTTGTAACTACCACTACTTTTGTAGTATGGCCATGTCATACTACTCTAAGAGGTTCTCTGGACTTTGTCTTGGTTTCTGCCCCTGAGTTACAGTTAGTAGCCAACCACTGGCTGAACTGAACTTTGGAAAGCCCTGCTGTGTATGGCAGTTGACCTTAGTTGAACCAGGTGTCCCTAGTGTTTGAACACCTGTCAGCAATCTTTATATAGACCGCGAAGGCTAAAGAGTCCCTGTCCTAGCTACTTTTTGCTGCTATGATGAAATATTCTAATGAAAGCAACCCAAGGGAGAAGGGGTTTATTTTGGCACGCAGTTTGCAGGAACAGTCCCTCATCAGTTCTTGGCAGCAGGAGCTTGAGGCCGCTGGTTAAGTTGCATTCACAGTTGTGTATGTTCACTGGCAACTAACTTCATTTTTTTGATGTAGTCCACAACCCAAGCCCAGGATAGTCTTATCTTCTCACTCAATTAACCCAATCAAGAAAAATCCTTTACAGGTACACCCAGAGGCTTGTCTCCTAGGTGATTCCAAATCCTGCCAAGTTGACAATCAGTGTACTCTGAGAGATCTGGTGGCCTCTGATCTCAAAAGCCCCTGAGGCATCTAAATTCATATCCAGCACTCACACCAGCTTAAGTGTGACTTTCTTTACACATTGAGCTCAGCATATGTGAAAGCTGTCTACATACACCAACACAATGCAGTCTGACAGCACCAAATGCTGCCTTCTATTTTGGGGAGGGAAATATGATGTAATAATCCAACTGGCTAAATACATTTTGAAGAGCTAACACTTAGGGATTTTTCTGTCCATGTCAGCCCTTAGGTGGTAGTTAGCTCAGATGTTGCATGATACAATTGTTAGCTGTCATATGGGTGCTGGGAATTGAACCCAAGTCCTCTGCAAGAGCAGCCAGTGCTGACTAACTGCTGAGCATCTCTCTAGCCCTAATCATTTTTTTAAAACTTTTGTTAGAGTTTGCTGAGATTAGAGTGTTGCTATCCTACTTAAAAGGAACGACATTTAAAAGAAAAAAAAAAAAAAAAAAAAAAAAAAAAAAATCTGACCTCAGGCTGGTAAGAGCACTATGTTCTTTGTGAACCTAAAAACAAACAGCCATAGTCTATTTAGTATTTTCTTATACTTGTTAATGTAGGTGATTATGCACACCCCATTCTGTACTTGTGCTGCATGGTAGACTGTGGGTGAGCTATCCTCCTGGAATGCAGAGGAACCTCTGTTGGCCTCACTCCTACACATATGTCCTCCAAGATGAGGCCCAGCACAAGAGCTGTGTATGTTTGTGAAGATTTCTTGAATGTTCTTTAGAAAGGAAGTTGTGCCCATGGTCTTTTCATCTGCCCTCTTTCCAGAGATTTCCCACCAGCTTGAATAGCTGATACATTCCTCATACCTGTACTTTGTACTCAAGTACCTGGTACACCATTTTGTAGTCAAATGCAGTCCTTAGACTGGATGGATCCCTTGCCCTCACTCGCTCCTTGATGATCAAGTAATCAGTCAGTCAGTCATCAATCAAAAACTGAAAACAACAAATGAAAAGACAAAAGAAGACCAAGAAAAGAATCCCCCTGGACCACTTCTCTCAACTTTGGTCACGGATGGCTGCAGAGGCCCATTTTGTCTTCCAACTAAGAAAATTGGTCCTTGGCACATCCCCTTTAGGAGTTCTAATCTTTTTTTTTTTTTTTTTTCTCCCACTATAAGAATGGAATTCAGATGAATAAAATGGAGAGTGGGAAAGTCCCAGGGCAGCTTGTGCCGTTTCCCTGTTGGAGGGAGCTACGTTACGTGGAGACTAGACAGTGGCTGGCCTCTGGTTTTGCCTACATGGGGTCACCTATTTCCTGGTCCTGTGGACTAAACCAAAAACTTAAGATCCATTTTGACATTACCTGAAAAGTTTAATGACTCCCTGGCACCCAGCCTTGTAATCGTTCTATGTCTGTGATCACTTGTTTGTTCTTTAAAACAACCTTTTTCTCTGCTCAGCATTGGTTAATCAGCTAGCATTCCATGGTCACTCACAAGTTGGGTGTGAAATCAGTTACTTCCTGTATGAAGTGGGGTGTGTAAAGTGAGTTGCTCCTCACCGTTTTCAGAATGTGATTATGAATGAAGACAGTATTCATAGCAGTACATATGGATGACCATAGATAGATCCTAAATCCTGGGATAGTGTATCCTAGGATGTAGATTGGATGAGGAAAATGTAAGAGACCCTGATGAGATAAGCTATCTGTCTGATTTAGGATATCATTTACCAGGAAACAGGTAACAGGTAAAGTAAAATAACATTCTTTTCATGTACAGGGACAGGTAGGTATGAAGTATAAAGACTGGTGGGCCTAGTGATATTTAATTTTATAAGTAGTTACTTTTAGAATGGTCTAAAAATACATTTGTCTGCTGTGTAAAACAACCTGAACAAGGGGAAAATAAAGTCACTTCAAAGTGTAACCCAAACAGTAAACACACCTCTTGCTCACAGCAGGCACTTCCTGTTGTTGACTAAACATTCTGGAGGTGCAAGCCCTGAGTTCTGTTTTGTCTTGTGTTCTGCAGGGTTTTCCCTTTCTTCTGTGGAAGAAGATGGTGTTCGAAGACTGTATGTGAACAGCGTGAAAGAAACGGGGTTAGCTTCCAAGAAAGGTAAGGCTGGAGGCCTTGTCTGTTTCTGTCTTTTTGGTGTTTTGTAGTCGGAGGGCTTGGGATGTTGCTGAGGCTGGCTCTTTCTTTTTAAATTTGTTTTTATTGAATTTTTGTGTATTTTATACTGTAAGTCTTATTTGTCTTTATGCCCCGGTCCCCACTGGCACCCTCCCGTAGCCCCTCCCCCCCACTGGAATTCATCCATTCTGTCATTTGTGTTAAGGCCTATTGTGTCAAGTAAGTGTCCCCAGATGTTCCTCAGTGCAAGTTCATCCACTGAGGCCTAGTCAGCTTAGTCCCTCGCTTTAGGAAGATCAGCTCTTCTTCACCCAGCAGTACTCACTATTTCTTAAGCTAAGATTTGGGTCTGCTGTACATTTCCCCAGTTCTATGCTGGGTTTTTGTCTGCTTAAGTTTGCCTGGGACTTGTGCATGCTGACACCATTGCTGTAGACACATATGAGCAGGGTCCCAGGAGGACGCTGGCTCTTAACTCATCATGCAGCCCAGGTTGATCTCCAGCTCATGGTCTTTCCACACTAGCCTCTAGTGCTAGGAGCTACAGACTTGCACCCCCTGGTGGCCCTTGTCTACCTTGTAGTTTCCTTTTTGGGTTTTTTCTGGTCCGTATATCAGTATATCAGAAAGACATGCCCAGAGGGTTTGTGTGTAAAGAATATTAAATTCTTGAAAACCCTTCCAAAGAAATCAGTTTTACTCCATGAATTTGGGTGTGTAAGAAATGCCATACTCCTGGGTTTTAAACCAAACTCTGAGCCCATTCTGGGGGGCTGCTGGGACGTTCTCTACCCATTACAAGTTCCTTATCTTCTAGGGAGCTCTGGGGATTTGGGGCAGCAAAGCATATGGGAAATGCTTCCTGCTCATTGGTCCTCCCGGGTCAGAGGCATTGCCTGAGCCTCTAGTACTCCTTTGAAGGGGCTGTTCCACCGCTTCCCCTCCTGGAGAATCTTTGCGGAAGCTGAGGACGTGGGATTCAGCCTCCTCACCCCCACTTTTAAGAGCTCTTCCCTGCCATAGTTTTCCTGTTTCTTCTGGCCCTCAAAGAGCTTATAATGCATATGGGCTGCCTGTGAGCCCTGTTCTCTATTCTCTTTCTGTTCTGGAGAACCTTCTCAACCTAAGTTACAGCTGATCTTCGTCATGGGTTCTTCATTTGTGAACTCTACCAACTGCACATTGGGAATCTGTGTGTGTGTGTGTGTGTAAGGGGTTGTACCTGCACTGAATATGTACTCACCTTTTTCCTAGTCATTCCCTAAATAATACAACATAACGACTATTTATGTAGCTTTTACACTGCATTAGATATTGTAGGTAATTTAGAGATAATTTAAATATGGCTTTATGCAAAAACTCCATTGTATATTTGTGGATGTTACCAAGGGCCGTTCTGGAATCACTCCTCTAAGCATGGTAAGAGAAGGCTGAACTTGGCCACACTCTTAGTTTCTCAGGTCTACTAAGACAAATTACCCTAAACTGTGTAGCTCAAACCCACAGAAATTTCTCCCAGTTCAATAGGCTAGAAATGTAAAGTCAGTGTGCTGGAATGATTGATTCCTTCTGGAGTCTCTCGGAAGACTCTGTCTCATGTCTCCTAGCTCTGGTGGCTGCCAGCCATCCTGAACATTCCTTAGCTTCTACCTGATGTTCCCACTTTTGCTTTGGTAGTCAACATGACCTATCCTCTGCATCTTCTGAGTCTTCACGTGGCCGTCTTCTAATAACAGCAGTCATTTGACCATGCGTGCACCCTAAATTGCCAAGAGCTCATTTTAACTTAATTATACCTGTAATATGATATAGTTAGAGCAGTTATTTTAGTGATCTCTACACTAGGTACTCCGACCTCTTTCCAGAGGAGGTTATGACACGTGGACGTGATATTGGGGAGGGGCCGTCATTCTAGTCATAAAAGTAGTGAGGCAGGTAGGTAGGCTTGTAATCTTCCTTCACTTCATCCCTCTTGCTGTGGAATTTTTAGTTTTATTGAGGGAGTGAGAAGATTGCCAGCGTGTATTGAGTCTGTTGTACTTATAGCTGCCCATGTCTCTTCCATTAAGGACTCTGAGCAGACCATAGAGGGACAGAAAAGTATTCCTCCAGCTCAGCAGAGTTCTGGGTGGTTCATAGCTTGTGAGGTCCCTGAGTCATTCCACCCTGTGCTGTAAACATTGGAGGATCACCGTCCTTAGGACATCTGGGCACAGAAATGGCGAAGGTGTGGCACAAAGGAGACTCAGAATAGTTTATCTGCTGACTCTCACAGAAGGGGCTTCCCTTCTTTCTAGGCCACTGACAACCTGGAGGCCAGAGTTTGCAGAGACATGGAGCTGGTATCTCAGCTGAGAGCGGAGGTGCTGGGGCTCATTCCCCAGTTACTGATCTTTATCTCTCTCAGCACTTTGAGCCTGCTGTTGGCGCTGCAGGGCACAGGGCTGGGGTGGGGAATTGCCTGGCTGTTTTCAGTCACATCCTGTTTCAGTTCTTTGACTCTGAGAACCCTGATGTTAGGTGAAAACAGAAGTCTGCTCCAACCTCCTTGCCCCATAGAGCACTGTTCTTGCAAATGCACGAACAATGTGTATTATGTCTTGGCCACAAATACCATCCCAGTGCCCTCCATGGGGAATGCAGTGTCAAGAAAGGTACTTGGGGTATTTTGTGTTAGATCTAGCTTTTAATTGAAAACATACACCCACCCCTCCACACTCCTTGAATTCAAGATTCACTGCGGACCACATCTCCTGTCTGTGCATTCTGACTACCAAATATCCCTTCCCCCAGAGTCCACCCACTCTGCAGCTTAGCTTGATTCTTCTCTGCAGCAGGCTTTCAATACCTGTAATCTAACTGCCAAATCTTTCACAGCTTCATTGCTTCCAAATTCATTAACTACTGATTAGCATGTAGACTAGAACTTTGGCTGTGGCTTTTTGGACACAGCCTGAGTACCTGATGCCCTGTTAAAATGACCAGCAAATGTGCAATCAAGAAGAGAGGTCAGTGGAATGCAGCCTTCTTGGATCTGAGTGTTCATTTATGTTAATTCAGTCTTAAGTTTGCTTTTTCTGCTACTTCATTTTGTAGCCCACACTGGTGTGAGGCTATTCCACACTGTGATTGAGTCCCGAGTCCCACTCCTACCCATTCTCTTCATACACAGACTGCTCTTAGTTGGATCTCAAGGTGGCTATACTCCTGTCACTGACTTTTTGTATATACTTGAGTGTGTTCCACACTTGATCCTCATCCATCACCGGCCATTTGTTTTGAGTTATGTATCATTCTTCCCTTGGAATTACCTGAGAGTGAGTCATTTGCTGTCATCTGAGCATGTCCCCTGATGACCACACAGGAAGTAGCCCTATCAAGAAAACCACATGTCGTCTTGCTTCAGACAGCTGGGTGCTTCACAGGTCTTTCCGTGGCCAGTTAGGAATTGCAAGGTCAGCAGGGAATGGTTTCTGGGCAGGCTTCACTTTATTGTGAGAACACTATTTGTCTTTCTTCTACCAAATGGTAACATGGAAAGCCAGTGTCTATCGAATGTCTTCAGTGGAGTTTTACATGAATAGCCTCATTTAATCTCATCCAACCCATTTCCCTCATATATGAGACTGAAAACAATTCAATAATATGCCCGCTGTCACAGAGCCAGTCCATGCTGAAGCTGTGACAGGAGGACCCTGTGAGTCACTTCACAGCACACTATGTTCACGGGCTACACTCCCTTTGAAACTTTTGGGAAGAACCAAAAGTTCTGTGGCCTCATCCTGTTTCTGGTGGCTCCAGACTTTCTTGGGCTGTGGCTGTATCACCCCTGCTCTGCCTCCATCTTTACCTGGTCTCACGTTTGTGGTCCTTCTAAGGAAGGACCATCAGATAATCAAACATCAGCATTACCAGTGATCTTAGGGCCCATCAGACAATCATACATCATTTCTCAAGTTCCTTAGCATAGTTACAACCATAAAGATCCTCTTTCTTAGTAAAATCGCACAGGTGGGTTCTGGAATGTGAACATATTCTCAGGAGTCAGCACTCAACCTAATGCCCCTCTTAACTCTGCCAATCACATGAGCCTGGAACTGTTTTTTGAAAATCTTCATAGATGACTTCTGGTTTTTAAATATTTTTATCCTAATCTCTAATATCCTTTAATATCTAAATATTAGGTACTTGAGTTCTTTTTAAAAAATATCACAGACAACACAGTAATTCTCATCTATAATCTGAATACTTGGGGAACAAAGGCCAGAGCTTGTCATGAGTTCAAAGCCAGACTGGGCTATATAGTGGGTTCCAGACTAGCCTGGGCTACCAGCTCTGTCTCATTTCCTCTCAAAACCCCCTTCTTTTTAGATGCTGGAATTTTATATTTTCTGTTCAGATATAGTAATGCTGCAAATGGTTACTGGAAAATGAATTGGTTTACCACAGAACTTTGCCTTTGACACAGAAAAAACGTTCGTTTCATGTCCCTTCCCCTCCCACTTACAAGGTTTCTTGGATGCTTTTGGAACCTGAGTCAGGATAGACAGGGCACATTCTGGGGCTGGGAAGTGAGAACTCCATAGAATCACTGTTCTGCCGTCAGAGCTGGGACCCACGGGTGCCTTGAGTGGGTCGGCTTTTCATTCCTGTGATGATCTTTCCTTCCCCCTCATTCACTGTTCTTGGATTCCTTTTCTCTTCTTAGCTGTATTTCCTTTTCTGTTCTTGTCCAGCCTCTCCCTTTCTCAATCGACTAGAATGTTCTTTGATACAGATTTGAACTGCAAGTATTTGTCTTGACTTCTTGTTCTTCCAGGTTCGAATTATTCTTGACTATTCCATTAGGTCCCAAACTTTGGCCTCTTCCCAGGCATACTCTGCATGAGGCAGGACACCCTTTGGGGACCCTGCCAAAATGAAATGAGAGATATTTGTTCCCAGGACCAGAGGGGAATGATACCGTATTTGTTTCAGTAAAAGATAACTGTGTTTGTGTAACAGTAGAGAGAGCTAAAACTGCGTTTGGTTTCATAGAAATGATCATTAGACATAACTGAGCACAAAACATACTAGAGCCCAACATCCTGGGAAGATTGCCAGAACTGGTAGTTGCTTAGAGCACATTGAAGATGTAGCGAGTTCGTTTAGGTGATCCACCGGGATCAGGATAGGTCTAGAACCTTCTGAAATGTGTGTGAGCACCTGCTCATCACATCTGAACACTGCATCCTGCTCACAGCTGCCCTGGAGCTGTGAGGCCAGTTGCAGAAGAGTTTGGCATGCCCCTTCTTGCAGAACTTCTAAGTAGTTGTGATCTGATTTGTGTGTGACATTAAAACTTTCCATCTTGTGTTGGCAGGTCTAAAAGCGGGGGATGAGATTCTTGAGATCAATAATCGTGCTGCTGGTACCCTGAACTCGTCTGTGCTCAAAGATTTCCTCTCACAGCCATCCCTGGGCCTCCTGGTGAGGACCTACCCTGAACTGGAGGGAGGAGTGGAGCTGCTGGAGAACCCACCGCACCGAGGAGACGGCCCTGTGGACCTTGGCGAGAGCCCCCTCGCCTTCCTCACCAGCAACCCAGGTATGCTGTGCCCAGGACTGGGTGCAAAGCTGAGTTTTGTATAGCCAAGGTCTGGGAAGTGTACCACACTTTACAGATCTCAGTGGATTTGCTTCTACAGCTGACTTGAGAAGAAACGGAGGGAGGAAGGCTGGTTACTGACCCTGTGCTTCCTGAGGGAAAGGGAATGTGTTTTTGTGCTGGGATATCTGTTTTGCTACAAATCTACCTCCCACACTTAGAAAGCTTTGTATTTCTTTTGCTGTTTGTCATCTTGAAGAAAGGTTGGAGGCCACCATCTCATGGTTGTAGATAGAGATTTGGAGATTCAGTGCTGGAAATCCCAGTATGCTGAGACACTGAGTCCTACCCCAGCCATCTTGATCCCACTGTTCCCCAAACCTGTTCCGTTCCTCCTCCTGTGTAAGGGAAGGTCACAAGTTGGAGTGCTCAGATTAGGAACTTGTACAGAGCATGTTTGGTCATGTTGACTCGTGGGCTCCTCCAGTGTAAAGTCTGAACCCATCAGCAAACCCCCTGCCCTGCCCCATCTGCTACTCTTATCTGTTTCCTGTTCCCTCTGGTAGTCATGTGTTCATTTTGATAGAAGTGGTTTGAATGCTCCCTGCCTAGGAAGCTGTCCTGGGACCCAACTGAGTTAGCTTCCTCCCATGGGCTCCATGGCCTGTAAATACATCTCTAAATACATCTCTTTTGTGGGCTCCAACCTTGGTATGCTTTTCCGTTTGCATGGTTAGTTTTATTTATTTCTGTCTTCACAGGCTCTCACTTTGTAGCCCAGGCTGACTTAGAATTCCATAGGTAGCCTTGGTTGACCTTGAACCTGAGATTCTCCTGCCACCGTGCGTGGCTCCTATTACACTATTCTTGCTTGTTCATGCCTTTCTTTCTCTTGGAACTGGGTGTGTTTTCTTCAACTTTGTCCTCTAGCTCTTTGGACCTAGTTCCTACACGAGGTGACCCATTCGTGTTGAGCTGGAGAGCGAATGAGTGAACAAAGGGACAGTGTAGGTTGCTGTCGCTTATATATTCATGACCTGTGTGCTGGGGTTTGACTGGATTAGTATGTTTGATTGCAGAATTATTTTCTCTCCATCTTGTTTTCAAAACAAGAAAAGGAAAAGCCTGTTTTTAGTTTCAGCATCTGAGTTGTAGGTATTTGGGTGTGCTTCCCGAAGCAAAAGCCCTGTTCACACTTTTGGAAAAATTTGGCAAGTTGAGTGTTCCAAAAATTGATTGCACGTAGTCACTGTTGACTTTTTTGGATCTTGATCCCATTGTGACTCTCACTTCCCAGGCAGATTTTTAAAAATTGGCTCCAAGAAAAGGGAATTAAGACCATGGAAGTCATTCTCTCAAATGACCACAAGGTGGCAGGCTTGGTCCCACAAAACACCCATCAGCTTCTGTAATATGGCTTTGAATGAGACATACTAATTGAGATTAGGTCATTTAAAGGATTTTGTAAGCGTGTGTTCATATACTCCAAGAAACAGTGTGTGCTCCACTGCGTTTGGATTTTATTTTTGATCTGAGACATTAGTTTATAGATCTAAGTTCAGAATTAGCATATTATCCACAAACTAAACCAGATCAACACCCAGTTTTGTAAAAATCAAGCCTGCCTATTCTTTTGCATCTGCATCTTGTTTCTCATTCCTTTTCCAATATGGTGGCAGACTTGAGTAGTTGGGACAGAGATTAGAGTTTACAAAGCCAGAAATGTTAACTCTCTGGCCCTTTACAGATAAAGTTCACCATTCCTGTGATAAGTGTACTGATGGCTCAGTTTATTCTCTTAAGGGCATTTACTGTTCATGTTTGGGTCTATTTCTTATTAAAAAGAACTTTACATGCCTTTAGTCCCAGCACTCGGGAGGCAGAAGCAGGTGGATCTCTGTGAGTTCGAGGCCAGCCTGGTCTACAATCATGAGTTCCAGGCCAGCTGGGGTTACAGGGAGACCTTGTCTCAAAAAGACCAAAAAAAAAGGAAGAACTTTACATATGTATATGCTATTAGCATAAGCGTGTTTTTAATTAAAAAATTTTTTTATGTGTATGAGTGTATTGTTTGTATGTATGTAAGGTGCACCTGAATTATGCAGTGCCTGAGGAAGCCAGAAGAGGGCTTTGGAGCCCCTGAAACTGGAGTTTGGGAGGAATGCTGGGAACCAAACCCAGGTCCTCTGCAAGAACAGCCAGTGCTCTTAACCACTGAGCCATCATTCTGGCCCCAGAGTGTGTTTTTTTTTAAAAAAATGCTTTTTTTTGTTTTGTTTTGTTTTGTTTTGTTTTGTTTTTTTGAGACAAGATCTTGCTATGTAGCCCAGGCTGGTCTGGGACTTACTACGTATCTCAAGTTGCCCCCAAGTTGGGATCCTTCTGCTTCAGCCTTCTGAGTACTGAGATTTTAGGTGTGTACCACTATGTCTAACCCCAAAAAATCTTAATTAAAAGTGTACATGTGTATATTTATCTTTTTAAGAAAGAGCTGCGCATAGGCTGTGTAGATAGCAGCTCCTCTGTCTTTGAGGAAGTTTTTTAATTCAACACTGGCTTTCATGTGCTCTCCTACAGACCTGGCACCTGTGTACTAAACTCTCTCAACTTGCTCTTGTCTAAAACATTCAACTTTGGGGTTTTCCTCAGGAGATTCATTATTTCTTTTTTTTTTCCCCTAACCAAATGGTCATAACTTGGAACTGGTGCTCCGTATCCTGGTCTCTGCCTTCTGGTTCTTATGTTTCCTGATCTTTGTTTAACAGTGAAAGATGAAAGGGGATGCAGGCAAACAGGATGAAATAGCCATCAAGATTGCCCCATAATCAGGCGGAGATGAAGTAGAGTCAACAGACGCTGCAGTTAACACAGAGCAATTGTACAATGGCTAGGCTGGGCTCCAGCTCTGGTCTAAATTTAGGAAAAACTGAAAATAAGAGCCATCCGGAGTGGCAGGCTTGGGGTTTGATGCTGAGAGTGTCTTAAGGTGGTCATACTGAATATTTGGTGACCTTCATGAAGACCACAATAGGGAGTGTGGGTGTCACAGGGGTCTTGAGGTCCATGTGAACCCTGGCTGGTACTATCTGCCAAGGATGAAGACTGGACCAGACACTGTCACGTCCCGTCCCTTTCCGTCCTCCCCCCCCCCCCCCCCCGAGAGCCCTGATTGAAAGCTATGGTTCTCTTTCATGCTTGAGTTATTTCTGGGCCTCTTTCTCATATAGAGGCCTATATCTTCTCAGTAGAAACATCACAGCCTGGTAGTTAAAAATAGGCTCGGAGTCAGGTTCCTTGGGACTGGACTCATTTTGATGTTAGTCCACAGCCCGACACAGATCATGCGTTACCTCTCTGTGCCCAGTGTCCTCATTTATAAAATGGAGACAAAAGCACACTGTTATCGCACTAAGCCAATGTGAAAATGAGTCAATAAAATGTAAGTAAGTGGGGGAGTAGACTCTTTGTATTCCAAGCCAGTCTCTCATGGGGGGACATGAGATTTTCTGGTCTGTACCCAACAATTACTCCTCAATGCCAGCTTTGCAATAGATGAATTGTCTGACTATTAAGTTTATGAATTACACTTTGCTTATAGTTTCCCAGGTGGAAAGAAAGACTTCTGTAGTATTGAATGCTGAGCTCCCCGAACCTCTTTCCCACAGCCATGAATTCAGTGTAGTGTGTATTTATTGTGGAGGTTAGTTTAGACTCCTTTTTAGACTTCTTGGTGGACCTAAGGTCACCAACTCTTCCTGGTTGTAGACTTGTTTTTTCCTGTTTTGTTATAATGATGAACAGACTGTTAAGGTGATGTACAATACCATTTCAGTTGAGTTTTTTTTTTTTTTTTAAATGAAAATCTGTTAGGGGACCCTGTAGTGCATTTTCTTCTTACTCCTTGATACAGGAAGGAAGCATAGTGTATGATTACAGTGTTGTCTTATAAGTGAGTCTGGGTAAGGACAGTCTCTTCTATGTATTCTAAGACTCTGCTTCCTGTCCTTGGCCATTTGCAGTCTGTGAGTTCAGGCTGAAGTCTTACTGGGTCTACTTTCATCTTTGTTTTTATTTACATCCATACCAGCAGGGGACCCAGAGAAGAAGGTAGTTCCTTCAGAGCTGTTATTCCAGAAAGACCCTCATTGTGAAGGGAAGCTGGTGAAGGAGGTTGGAAACCAATGTTTGAGCTTTACAAAAGTCCCCATTAGACTCTTGTGGGGTTTGTTTTGAATACTGATCATAACATTTTGGGTCAGATAACTCTTTGGTGTTTCTAGAAAGCGGACTTGGATACAGGACATCCCTACAAGCTACTTAAAGACAATAGTACCTGCCCACCCCCAAACATAATGTCCTCAGGCGGTTAGCTGTCTAGCACTGGCAAGTCTCCTCTCACTGAGAAACCACCAGCCAGGTTTCTTAGAAGGTACACACCTGTACCACTCAGTTATTCAGCTCAGGGAGCATCAGTATAGGAAGGAAGATGCAAATCTGAATTTTTTCAAAGTTTCCTATAGTATTTATTGATAACGTTCTAAATTCCTGCCCCCTCAGTCAACTGCCTTTTGTAATAGAGGGAGTATATTTTGAATGATGGCTTCCTTTCCCTAGGCATGAGTAAAATTGTCACATATGGTGTAGATTATGAAACTTATTGAAACAAATATTTCCATTAACAATTGTGGAAAAAACCCCAACTTTTATGCAAATTATAAGAATTATTGTTCAAGTGGCACCTGGGATTTTTTTTACAGAAATTTTAAGTGTGTGTTTAGTGGGGCTAGAGAGACGGCTCAGTGGTTAAGAGCACTGGCTGCTCTCAGCACCTACATGGTGGCTAACAACCATCTGTAATACCAGTTCCAGGGAATCCAACACCCTCTTCAGACCTTCACAGGCATTGTATAACATGGGTTTACTTCCATGTGGGCAGTACACTTGTACACATAAAATAAAAAAATAATAACATCTTTAAATGTGTGTTTAGGGCCAGGTAT